TCAGTTTTATCATAATAGTAATCTGCTCATAGATACGGCCAATGGGACTGCAATGATCTGGTTGTAAATAGGGTTTCAGGGTACCAAGATAAAGGTGTTTTATATCCTTTAGCTTTTATTGAACCGGACCATAGAACCCTGTGAATTCGCTCGGTTGTGGTTTGACGAGCATTTTAGACTTCGGTAGAACTATTGGTGGAGGAGGCTAGAGCCAACTAGAAGGGAACCCCTGTATTCTTGACCGCATTTAATTTTCTGGGAAGTAATCATGTCCAACTTGACGTTGCTCGGGAAGAAAATGGTCCTAAGAAGTTACACAAGTTAAGTTTGGCACGATTGATCTGGATTCAAAGTAAACAGATAAGTATTTATTGCAGAGACTAAGAACAAGCTATCACTTTTCCCCAGACACCTAGATTTCATCAGAAGGAATTTATAAATTCGTTCATAAAAGAAGAACAAATAGCTGATACTTTGAATTGCACGATTACCTTGAAGTGGCAATTCCCCTCTATGTTGACATCCGGAAATACCTTTCAGTGCTGACTGTCAATTTATACCACCAATTCTTAGGCCTAGATATTCCTTTTCAAAGGTACAGTTTGCGATAATTTAAAGGTATTTATTCAAAGTGGAATAATGGAAGTCGTGGTGCAGTGCAAAGGTGGCGAACAAAGCGCAAAAATTGTTGGATTTTGAAAAAAAAGCATGACTTCAAACAAGTAGCTCGCAAGAGAGCTGTACGAGATGGCCCCTTGGGTGTCCCGCATTTGGGAGTAGTATTCGTCTCGTTTTGTGAAAAGAAGTAATTATAAGGTCGGCATAACCTTAAGTCAGTCATCACGGCCATCTTGTGTGTCTTCATGAGCTAGACCGGTTTTGGAGCCCTTATTACGCCCTGTTTAGGTCATTTTTCGGCCTGACAACGGCCCATTTAATATTATTGGGGGCTACAGATTCATTCTAGCGAGAACCTCGAAAAACAACTTTCGTGAACTGTGCCATGAAATGGGAATCGCTGGGCCTGAAGATTGGTAATTGATAAGAGACTGAAGTTCCTATAGTGATTTTGATGTTATATGCATTCCAGATGTCTCGGGACCATCATCGACGGCATTCTCGGGATCTATCGAAGCAGACGAAATACATCGAATTAGCGCTTGTTGGAGACTACGAATATGTTGGTTTCACTCACTCATTATTGCAGTTTCTAGATTATTTTTGTCCGTTTTTCCTATCTATTTTTTGATAGTGATTTTTTTCTCACGACAGTGTGCCCTTACTACTTCATCTTACTTTTCAGGTGAAGCAGCACGGTTTTTCAGACGAAGATTCTCTAACGTACATGCTTGAAGCGGTGAATATCGCCGATTTGGTGAGTAGAATACTATTCATTGAAGAAGTGGGAAAGTGGAGGCTCTTGTCGTCGCCCATTCCCGAAAGCGTGTGAAACAGCGTGTCGCCTATGCATCGTTGTAAAGAGGCCCCACTGGGGCGTAATTCTTCGACGTCAGCCGTTAAAACGTGGGCACCAAAGGAGCCGACAATTCCATTAGCGGCCACCACTCGTCCATTCAACGAGAGCTTTTCCACTCTTGAGCGTAGGAAGAAGTTCATTGCCAAGGTCGGATTGGTATAGTCGTTGAGTGCGTGGGAACTCGGACACAGCCTACTGCGGCTCTTTGGCCCATTCCGGGGGATAATTGAATTGGCTGGGGGTGGGGGTTGGAGTAGAAGTTGATAGTAGTAATGAGTTAATGAGCTCTGTTCTTTATGTCAGGAATGAGAAATGAGAGCTCTTGTTGGAGTACGATGGGTGAACTGTCTAGAGGTCCCTATACGAATTCACACTTAAGTTTTTAGTCAGACTTCCTTCCCATTTTAAGCGTTTGGACGGATTGGGGAAAAGAGGACCCCAAATGCTTGTTTTGATTCAAGGAACATTCCCGTAATTCACGTTAAATTCGAATTTTATCCGTGAATTGAAGATGAAGCAAATGGGGATAGTAGTGGGGGAGAACGAATGATGGAGCATTCTTTTTCAGGCTTTTTCAGTGCAGATATCGGGATTCCTAGAGCACCAGCGATTAGGGTTTTTCTCATCTAAATTCAGGCTAGCAAAAGCTTTTTTTCATGGTGCGCGCTGCTTTCAGTCTGGCCCTTGAAAGACGAAACTCCCTTATGATTTGCTTCAAGTGCATGCCGACGGATTTTTTGAGTACTTCCCTTCCCAGAATTTCTGTTCTGCTTGTTGGAAAGGGATGGCAGCATCGGCTTCACTGTCAAATTTTGTTAAATTACTCAAACTGATCAAGCAGTTAAATGACTGATTAGGTCTATCTAGGCCCCTAATAGAAGTTTCGTTTGAAGGGGTGTGCAGGGAGGTGCAGGGGTGAGTGCATGTGTGGAAAAGTGAATCTGGAACGGGACAACTATCAAAATTTGGCGATCAATGAACAAATGGTTTGCCGTCGTGACTCTCTGTGAATGTATTCTGACAGCTGCGGGAGAACATAGTTGTAGACAGTTGCCTTCGACCCGCTTTTGATCCTCCCTATCCTCAAATGATCGTAAATCAAGTTGAAAAGGCCCGCTAATAGAAAAAAGTTGCACCCCACAAACTACTGATCGTAAGGTGCCTGTGACAATCGTGACAGACAAAAATATCAAAAGTCTAAATAGCTCCTCCTCATTTTTGATTATTATTTTTATTTTTTTCAGATGTTTTCGAGGGATCTCAATGTTCGGTTATCGGTGGTGTATGCAGAAATTTGGCTTGATGTTCAGCGAGTAGACCTTTTTGAAGACATCGAGAGGACTATGAGTGGAGTCGTCGACTACTCAACGGGGCACATTTACAACATTGGTAAGCTTTCTGGAAACTAGTCAGTTATGTACAAAGAGTTTCTGAAAACTGGGAGAGGACAGTGCCGCTTTTCAGCCAAGGATGCTACTGTTATGTTCACCGGTGGTTCCTTTGCCAATAACGAAGCCGTGAATGCGGTATTCCGGAGTATATGTACAGCAAGGTCCACTACGATTGTGAAGGTAACTTTTTTGAAGGTTTCTTTTCTGTTAATTCCGAAGGCTTTTGTAGATAAAGTGCAGAGCGTGAACATCAGTTCATACTTCAGTTTTGCGCACCACTTCCCTCTTCCTCGAGAGAATTCTCTTTTAATCTATATTTACCATTTATTACCACAGAGTCTTGACAGTTATTATTTTTACCACCCGAACGTGAATGATCGAAAGTTTATTTATGTTTGTTCAAATTGCAAGGTTTCAAAAGCTTCGAAGTTCTGGAATACTGTGGGTCTAGCAAGCTTGTATAAGTGCATGCCAACTGCAGGTTCTGAGCTTCTGCTGCAGAGGCATAATACTTAGAAGTGAGTACTCGTTGTAAGTGAGAGTTGAGACCGCTGCACATGACATGCTTTTTTTTTTTGAGGGGTGTTGATCGCAATGGTGGAGGTTGTGTGGGAAGTAACGCACCATCACACACATACGATCAGGGGTTCGAATCCGGATCGATGTCCGACTAGGCCTACCAAGCCTTCCAAACCCCGGGGTCGAATATCGGTCCCACACTCGTCTGAGAGGGTAAAAGCTCTGACTTGTGCGTCGGCTGGGTCGCTGTATGGGCCACGTATGCATTCAATACGCCACTACGATTCTGAATGGAAGTCGAATGCGAGGGCGCTCCCTCAGACGGGATTTATTAACACCACAAACTTCATCCTTCATCTTTTTTGAACAATATACATAATCAAATTGCCCCAGGGAGAAGTATTAACGAATTCTTGGAACGGAATTATCGGTTATTCCTTTTCGCTTTATAAATTTTAGCATCACCTTGCTTAGTTCTATTTTTTTGTGGAGGTAACTTACTGATTTGACTTAGAATGTTGGATGAGGTACTATATTATCTGGAGAATCTGAGCGAGATCTAAGGAACTCCGATGAAATAGATTTTATCCGGCAGAAAGTGGTCTAAACGCAAAAAAAAATAAATGGACAAAATATTAGCCGTCAAAGTTCAATTGATAGTTGAATATTTTTAACATAGATTCAACTGTTATTCCCGTTAGAACGGGGGTCTTAGAGTCAACATGACTTCTATATTTTTGATGTGGGGATGTTCTGCATTAATTATTTGTGCTCAGATCATCCTATTAGGTGTTGGCCCATCGGAGAATTGAAGACGGCCCATCGGAGAATTGAAGACTTAGCAGGTGGGACCAATTCAGCGGAATGGACAAAAGTACGATGCAGACGCAGCTGCTGCCGTATTTCTTCTTCTTTTGCTTCTGGTGTCAATGGAGTCAGGTGCCAGTCGCAAGCAAAAAACCTAGATCTGGCAGGTTTTTGCTAGAGTTGCTGGAAAAATGTGGGGTGCTGAAAGCTTCCTGGAAGCTCCCCCAGTACCCTGAATGTTACAAGCAGAAAGATCAGGATTTTTTGGCAGGAATCTAGTGCATGGACAATTTTGGAGGGTCGGAAAAATTTCCAAAGTTCTGGAGTCTTCACTCAAGAGCGAGGAGGGAAGGCTCAAAAAGCGTTGTTCTCAGAATTGAAAAAAAACTTTTCATTTGTTTGTGAACAGTGTAAGAGCTCTTCGGACCTCTTATTCTATTTACGTCCACTTGGAACAATTTCGAAGCAGACTGATTTGAGAAGTTTGAGAAAAATTCATGGGAATTTTTAAATAAGCCGATTAATGCGAACGGGTAGGTAGCAAGCTGTCGCCCTCATACATATCAACCCACGGTTCCTTGGAAAGCTTCGTCTAACGATGTATCGAATGATATGATATCGATGATATATCGAAACTTTTTGGAATGGCTTTTTCAATGTCTTTTTTTACTGGTCATCTAAATACTGTCAAAATTCTCCCAATGTACTTTGATATTCATCGCCTTGTCGTCGATTTCAATTTGCATATGTGACAGACAATGCGGGTGGGAGCTGACGGGTGGGAAAGGGTTCGTTGAGTAAATGCATGCAATGAATTTGCATGCCTCAGTAGACAAGTGTAGAACAGCGTTTGATTGGAGCATGAGTTTGAAATGGTGACATCCAAGGGTAAATGCATGACAAATCCTTTGCATATTGAGGCACTTCCAGGCTTGAGGTCTGTTTCGGTCAATTTTAAAATGATAGGGTAAAATGGAAACTCGAATTTGGCCAACCGAATGGTCATGGTGGAAGAAATGACTGTTTTTTTTTCGAAGCGGCATTTCCGTCACTGTTCCAAGGACTCGTATCCTAGCACTTGAGTTAGCTTTCAACCCAAGGGCTACGTTTGGTGTGGTTCCATCGGTGGTCAGCATATTTACTTGGATAGTGGCCTCTAGCTTCAAGAAAAAGGATACGACTCCCGTCAAGACTATCACATTTTCCTAGAAAATTCTGCAAAAAGACGATTTTTCTCGTAAGCCTCCCTATTTACTCATTTATTTATTTGTTTATTTATTTATCTATTTATATACTTCACTGTGTAC